GTATGAATGTAAGTCAATATTCAAAGTAAGAGGGTACAAATGAAAATATTAAAATTTAACGAGGTTTTCCATTTCACAGAAATCAAGGTTAAACATAGGAGAGTCTTATCGCTTTCTCTACCATCACTTTCCTTCTCAAATTCTTTCTTTTTCTTATTATGTATGCTTTCTTTTTCTCACTAGAAGCAAACAACGGGGCTTACGCATTGAAGCACCGGTTCCCGTACGATCACCGAAGTTAAGCAACGTCGAGCCTGGTCACAATCTAGATGAGTGACCGGTTGGGAATACTAGGTTCTGTAGCCTTGGATGTGCGGGTGATGTAATGGCTAATGGCTCGGAATTATTAACTAATCGGAAAGCTGAGTCCCAATTCCAGGTGGGTTCGTTATATTCAATTCCGTGGATATAACCTTGGAAAAGATATGAATCCACCTCTTCTCCCCCTAGCATGGGTTAATTAGTATTACTAAAGACCATTACTAACTCCTCCCTAAATAAATAATATAAAATAAAATTGTGTTCAAAATATTTCGGCATTAAATAACCCATAGAGTTCGATTGGTTGATAAACAAAACCAAACAACGTATTTGATATATCTTTCACTTCAAACTTTCATATCAATGAAAACGGAATGGTCCATTATTTATCTTAAGCAATGTCTAAGCATAACGCACGTGGTAACTTACAATAATAATAATAACAGAAGCAACAACGATATGAGGCATGACTTTCAATGCTTCTGATCGTAATTGAATGGAAGTGTTATCGTGTAAATATTTTATATTGGCGAATTAAGATGGTTGACAGTCAATATTCCGTTCAGTAGCACACATTTGCCTAAACAACACCAGTTGGGCAAGTCATCTCGTTAGTGAGGCACTGTGAATTTCTACTCATAAAGCAGTTGCTGGAGAGCATCGTGACTGCGTGTTGAGAGCGTTGTACTTTTAAGTTTGAAGGCTGATGCAACCAAAGTGACAGGTTTGAAAACGTCTAGATTTTAGAGAATATCCTCAACTGGAGACCGTTTGAAGAGAAAGTATTTCTACCTGGGTTCCAACTACAGTGCCATGCGCTAACTTTTATCAAAACTTTGTCAACACATCGCGAACATTTGGCTGTGATGCATGTGCCTGGTATACACTTGTCTGTGTCATGATGGATATATTGAATTTCGTATATTGGAACCCCAATATCACTTTGTTGGTGTGCTGCCCACTCACTCAATAATATTTTTAAAAAAAAACAACAACAGCAGCAGCAGCAGCAACAACAACAACAACGACAACAACAATAATAATAATAATAATATAAAAAACGGTGCCTCCTTATTGATATGGCAGTCCCTGCCGACTGCAATGTATCTTTGAAGATATTCAAAAAGTTGTCAAAGTACAAGGACCTTGAAATAGAAATCACGAAAATGTGGCATATGCGAACATCAACAATCCCTGTTGTAGTTGGAGCCCTAGGACTGGTTGGAAAAGATTCCAGTAGACTAATTGAAGGGATTTCTGGAAGTCCATGCCTCAAGGAGATAATCATTTTTTTTTTTTTTTTTTGTCAGTGGAAAGTGTCATGACGCCATTTCTAACCTTAGGTCCCTGGGCGGGACCCGGAAAGAAATGTGTAAACGCCAGAAATCAAAGAAAATAAAAATAATAATAATAATATTATTATTTTTATGGCTGTTCTGGGTAAGCTTAAGTTCAAGGCCAGAGAAATTGACAAGCTTAAGAAATACACCGACTAACGGAATGAACCTGCCAGAATGTGTGACGTTGAAGCCATTATTGTCTCAGCTATCATTCGAGCGGTGGTTTCTATACCATCGAATTAAAAGCTGTACTTGGAGAAAATCAAAATAAATCCCAGTATCCCATCGCTTAAGAAGTCTGCGTTGCTCGGTAGTGCAGATATTCTGCGAAAGGCGCTTTCTCTCTGAGGTCGTACGACTTGATGGTGAACACATTTAATGCAAGATCTCCAGTGGAAAGCGAAAAAAGCATTCAGAAGAAAATATAATACTACTACTGCTACTACTACTACTACTAATAATAATAATAATAATATACTTAAATACTTGATTCATTAATTCATTTTCTACGGTTTATCAACACTTTGTAGGTTATTCAAAGCCAGAAAATATTTCTAGATTGTAAAGATTTGCTTAGAAAATAATGATTTAGTTAACAAGTTTTACTAATTAACCCATAGCTGGGAGAGATTCATATCTTTCCCAAATGTATTTGAGCATAACGAAAAAAGATAAACTCGACTCTCCGATTGACAATACCAAGCCATTATCTATTACATCACCAGCACGTAACATACCAGTAAGCCGCTTATATCTACGAGTGTAAGGTAGATAATACATACTATTTTGGAAGTTTTCTTCTTCCTGGTCACCGTGAAATAAAATTAAATAATTGAGGAAAGAATTTGCAGAGGAAGAAATTGGAAGAGGCGTATTTCTTTTGATAATTATTTAGTTTACGAAACTAATTTCTTCGTATCAGTTTATGTTCTCGAAAGAAATGCAAGCTGAAGAGAAAAGACTATTCGAGATTATTATTTCTATCGTGTCAAAACCGAATAAAGTTGATTGATAAGGACTGGCGCAAACCTAATACTTGGTTCCAACAATTTCTTTCCCTGCGCTAATTCCATAGATTTCGTCTCCTTTTATGAATGATACACACGAACGGGACATTCAAAGAGACAGATCCTATTTTGAACAGCTTTAGTCGATGTAATATTTCTGATTAAAATGACATAGCTGCGATGACAGCCGTTTACTATTAATAACTCTTTCATATATACGTATTTCAAATGATGGCGGACAGATGTATGCATAAAATTGGATAAACAATGTTTTTGTTTGTTGTAAATAGTTTGTATAAATTTATACCTTTGAGGTTTGTATCTGTGGGAGATTACAAACTTTTCGTTCTCTATTCCCATCTCTGGATAATTGACAAACAGGTTTTCAACATTGTAACCAATATCAAGTCCATATAAGGTGTTTAAGTATAACATCCCATCCATGGTGTAGCCAGACAAACCCATGTAATTGTAAAATGGCGTTGCTATTTCCATTTGATTAATCTGTACAAAAAAAAGCATATATAAAAGCAACGATTACAATCATAATATAATTTGTGCCTCAACTTCTGGAATGAGGAATTATATTTATAATAAAAACATGTAAGCGTTTTTTTTTTTGTTTTTTTTTCGGAGGGTACACTTTTTTTTTCATATTTTGAGATGAGAAATCATCGTTATTATTCACTGGTTCACTTGTCCTCAGCCTAAAATATATAGCAACTTCCACAAGATTGGATTGAGTACTGATCAGATACAATAATAGTTGGATAAATATGTATAAAAAATGACGGTAGTTTGGTAAGTTAGAAATAAATGCAGAAATACTTCGATTGGTAAGGATCAAAGACTACGTTGGATTTATAAGTAAGGCCCAAATTCAATGATAAGAGAGGATAAAAACAAAGGCGAATTAATTGAGAGTAAGTATCAAATGCAAAAAACAGGTGGATCAAATGCTAGATTTGATTTACAAGTAAGGATCAAATACAAGGATAGTTGGATAAGTTAAGGACAAATGTGATGTTGTATTGAGAAGTAAGGATCAAATGCTAGGGTTGATTTATAAGTTAGGATCTATTACAATGATTCTGTCTGAATGTACGGACTAAAAATTTGGTAGAATTTTTGGAAAACCAACTGATTTAGTAGCATAAAATTTTTATTTGTTCCCAAAATTAAAATTGACATTAAAAGGCGAATATTTTTATTGGATGACAATGATGATGTTTTCTTTGTGTATTTGGATCAAAATATATCCAAAAACGTACTTCATAGACAGAATGAAAATGTTTCTGAAGAGTTTTGAAAAAAAGTGCATCACCAAATGATGAAAATCATGAAAAATATAATTGTTGTTTTGAAGAGAAAGATATTTAACTTAATTTGCTACCAAGTTCATTATCCTACCTCGTCTAATCATCTCATCAGATTGGAGATCTCATTTACGAATTAACAATCGGAATTCTGAAGAGAAATATAATTTTCTTCGTTTTGATACCATTCTATCTAGTCTGAAAATTGTTTTATAGGACTTGTGACCTAGTGTTATAAATCAGCTCTTGAACTTCTTAAGAGAAATGAATTTATTTCATTTTGATACCAGTTTCATTATTCTATCTTGAGTAAAACTAGTTTTAAAGAATTGTAGATCTTTTTGAAGAGAAATGTATTTCCTTTTGATACCAGTTCCATTATTATATCTAGTTTGAAAATTATTTCATAGGATTGCAAACCTTTCTTATCAATTCTCACCTCTAAATTCTAAAGAGAAATATTTTTTTATACCAGCTGATACTTCATTTTGCTACCAGTTTAATTATTCTATTTAAGAGGGAAACAGATTTTATAAGATAGGAGACCTTACTAATCAATCAAACATTTTGAATAGAACTGAATATATTTCATTTTTTTCTAGTTTGATTATTCTATCTGGTCTACACCATGTTTTGTAGAACCGAAAATTTTACGCATGGAAATTCTAAAAAGAACTAAATATACTTCATTGTCATATCACTTTTATTATTCTCGTACCGAAACATGTTTTATAGGACTGGAATCATTACTTTGCAATCACTTCTCGTAATTTAAAACAAATGACTTAATTTTGTTACCAGTTTCATTACTCTGAGACTATACATTAGATTACCATTGTTTTAGAAAATAGGAGACTTTAATTATTAATTACCGATCATCCATTTGGTTATTGGTTTATTTATTTGTTTGCAAATATAAAAACCTTCTACTTTTTACTTGGGCTTATATTTGTCTTTTGAACATTTCATGGCGACAATTAATAAAGTACTTACCGCAATTTTTTCAACTGACAACACACGAACATACATTTGCGGGAAAACCAATTCTACTCCTGGTCTGAGGGATTGCTCGATACCATACTCATTGTTCAAAATCACTCTGTAGTAAGGATGGTCGTTTTTGACAAGAGTAAATTTGCAAACACCATGAAATGATGACAATGTCAGGTTATTAAGCTTGGAGCTGTAGCATACACAAGCGGCATCTGCAATGGGAGATAAAAAACTAATTTCAGATATTACACTTCCTTTTAAAGAAATAGTTCGTTAATTTACTTGCATGTTACGCTATTTCCAAAGTTCAGTAATCTGGCATAGAATAGTAATTTTAGGGTGGGTCAGTTTATTACTTAATATCAACAGAAAACAGTTCCCTCATCTTTTTTTATGTTTCCCTTTTAAGAAAGAGTTCGTTAATTTGTTTACTCCCCAGCGTGACGGACGAGCAAATTGACGAACTATTTCTTAACTATTTTCCAAGGTCCAGTGATCTGTCGTAGAGTAGTAATACTAGTGTGGGATCAGATTATTGCTGAATATCAACAGAAAACAGATCTTTTACTTTATTTTCAGTAGAAACTAATATTAATATTTTATAATAATAAATAATTAAATTAGTTAATGCTAATTTTATGATGAATCATAAAATCGGACATATCATAATAATTCTGTAGATGCTAGTAAATCTTGAAAAATACCCAAACATTGGTTTCTTAATATCAGTTTTACTTTGAAAACATTGACCTGAATAATAAAATTTTATATAATGGATAACAGGAAGTCAATATTGCTTTATATGTAAATCCTTGTGCAAATTAATTGAAACAAAACGAATAATTCAGTTATTATTTCCTTTTTTTCGTATTTTTCCAATGAAAAATGACCCAGTGCACATAGTACTTTGTATGTTCATTCCACGAAGTCGTTCCTTGCAGATTGACCACAGATTCTCGACTGGATTTAAATCAGGAGAGTTTCCGGGCCAGTCTATAGAACTTTGATTTGCTCACTGGTAAGGTTTGCTAGTGGGTTCTTGCAGCGTTACAATTTTCGTACGCTTCCTTGGAGTAACGTTCATCGCAGACAATGGCAGTAGGACAACTAATCGACAGTTGAGACAATAGTGTCTGGGGGTGATGAAAATCTGATACAATCACGGATGGCGCAATATTTTTCAAGACCAAACAAATTTCATCATGCAACCCAAAAATAGGTTCGTATTACTGCACACCACAGAAAATGACCTAGTCTGAGGAAAAAATAGAAATTGATTACACCCTGTCAATTGAATGAGTCTAAAACTGACTGTATGGTGAAAGAAAGGAAACTAAAGCGATTGTTTCAATTAATTTGCACAAGGGTGTACACCAATTTCAGCGCTTTTTGTATAAAGGGTTTTTTTTTAATTAATAATAATCCTAAAAAGATCAGATTCAGTCAAAGCAGATTGAACAATTTAGAAAAAACACATTTTCATATAAAAATAGTCTAAGGCTAAGCTAACCTTCTCGATATATCTTATTTATATTGTAAATAAATTAACTACTACTGCTATGGACAGATATGTCTCATTGGCCTAAACTTGCGACTGTTCCTCACAGCGTGGGATATTGACAGGATTTCCTTTAAGAATAAAACATTTTGAAATCTATATCTGCTGACTTTATTTATTTGTACCATTGCGGATGCAAAGATGGATTATCTCCCTTTGGGAAAGATGAATTGACAAGGGAAACATGACGGCCAGTGAGTGAGGTCAGTTCATATAACGACAAATACCATTTATCACGTTTAGAGGCCAGACGGGTCTGCGCAATACAAGTTTAGAGAAAAGAGGAACCCATGTGGTCTCACCAGAAGTTTTCTGAGAAACCTTCCACTATAATTACTAGACTTCACGAATTTAAGCGCTGTACTAGTTTGGCGGCAAGATTTCATCCTTTTACAATTGAAATTGCTAGATGTAACCGTAAGTTCTATGCTAACAGTTTCTTCTTTCACACGTCTCGCTTGAGGAACTCTCTTCCGGCTTCTTGCTTCCCAATTAACTTTGATTTTCAAAAATTTAAATACAATGCCAATTGTTATCTTCCGCCTTCTTAATTCGAGATCTTTTATTGTCCTCTCTCATTAATAGTAGTTTTTTTTCCTTATGTTTTCTAATACTTGGTAACACATTGCGTCCTAGTGTCTTTATTACTTTGCTTGGAGTGAAATGATTAAAAAACATAGACTACACAATCTGCCTGCCCTGCCTGTTTTCCCATCAGAAATTATTACAAGTAAGACCCTCTCACTTTTCACCCCTTTCACATTGCTTGTTTTATCTACATTTTATAATTTATCTGCGTGGTACTAATTAGAGACAAGTGTGCATACATTAGTATAAAAATCTCTTTGAGAATCATGCATATTTGTCATTTCTTTCTTTCAACTATTCTGTTTCTTGTGTTGTATTAAGGTGTTAGCATATCACGGATACTCTAATGGCTATAATAGGGAAATCCACTCTAGAAATATTATTTCTTACCTAACACGACCATTATACACACAGCGTAAACAAATTTCTAAGCAATCATTTTTTATAATCATTTTTATATTTTTATATTAATATAATATATAATTTCTAAAACAGGTAATATAATATTTATATACGTATATTATATATGTTCCAACGTTTGTCATAATCAGAGATTGAAGTGAGGACAACCTCCCGCTATCTATAAAATGTTTCCGCGGCATACATCTAAAATAGCCTTTGACTACTAAGTTTAGGTCCAAGCCGGAGAGTGGGCGAAAGTGGACAACTGGTGCCTCATAACCAGCTGCTTCAGGTAGATGAAACTCGACAGCCCAGGAAGGCATCCATTTAGGGGAAGGAAATCCTGATTTTTAAACCTCCGCCGCATTGCGGTTATATCCAAATACGGAAAAAGGCTATGAAAGTAAATCCAGACAGAAAACCTGGAGTGGATCCCCGAAGGTGATTGTCTATCAACAGTGACAACTTTCTTGCAATTTCTACAACCAAGCCGTACCCAAATGAAATACCCTGTATACCTTTGGATTTTGTCGGTACGGCCGAGAGGGTGGGGATATAGTCTGTGCAGCGCGAAAGGTCACTTCACTTGTTTTGGAAGCCAGGTTTAATGGTGATATTAAGATGTCGGCATCAACAGGTCGAGAGAACGAAAGATTTATTAAATGAAACAAGAAATGAACATGAACTTAATCCTATGTCTGACGGTAAACTATATCCGGCAACAACGCTTCTGATCGGGAGACTGGAGGTTTTGAGGGGCGTGGAATCACATCTTAATTACTGGTGTTCCCAGGTCCACCCTGACCCGGGGTTGTAGCACCTGTTATCGTTATGGGCAAATAATGAACCCCCAAGCAAAAACTAATCACTATAAAAGTATAAAAATACATTTTTAAAGTAAAAATTACCAGCAATACATTTTTATATAAAACAATTAGCAACTATACTTATTTATAGTAAAATTATCAACAATACATATTTATAGTTAAATGACCTGCAATACATTTCATCGTAGAATTATCAACAATGCATTTTATAGACAAACATTCTGTTGTTGAAGGTATACTATTACATTCAAAATATATTTAGTTGAAGCCATAACATTGTGTTCAATATATTTAGATTTCGGCATTAAATAACTGTTTTAACCTAGGGAAGGTAACTGAATAGAATAATCAAACGAAGATTGGTAGTGAACGATATTACTAAGAGCCAGACCTCCGAGTCTAGCTGTCGTGATACAGTATTTGACTGTAAGCGACGTTTGTCGAACTCTCTGCGTTAGCAGAGAGGAACACGGACGAAGCTTTGCCGAAGGGCAAGGTTTCGTCCGGGGAGGTAGACAGTGCCTGAACACGTCAAGGCGGTTTCAAAAAGGCTATATTTTTGGCCGAGCCTACGAGCTCGGGGATACCCACATTAAACCGGCCTTGTGCCATATTCAATTCTCGTGGGTGGATCGATAAATAGCGAACGATAATACTAAGACAAGAACAACACATATAAGATTCGCCAGCGGCGCGTAGAAGTAGTAGTCAACTGATAGTAGTGTTAAGTGAATTCCACAATGAATCTCTAACTGTAGATCAACATACATTTATGTGAATGAGGACACATCCATTATCGTCCGTAGGTATGCTACAACAATAACCCATAGAAGTGTTTATATGCCGCTAAAGAAAATCAACCAACCAAATCGAACCTGTATTTTGGCTAACCTTGGAAAAGTATATCAGGATTTTTTTTAACAATATCTTTTAATTCGCCCATATTGCCTAAATATTGAATCGCATGACAAAGTAAGATGTCACGTGACGTATGTCTGTAGCGTTTCGGCTCATTCGGTTCTACGGTTTAGGTTTGCTCAAAGTTTTAACAGGCGCGAAAATTGTTCGCAAAAGTGGAGTCGAGGATTAACACTTAATTAAGCTTACTTAAGCATTGCACGTTCTTTTCTGAATAAATCAAATATTTTTACGCCTCAGCAAAGCGAGGAAAAATTTACGAAGAATTTGGCAATATTCAAATATATATTTTCTCTTTTATTTTCTTCATGCTTTTTCCTTCTGGGATGTTCAAAAAATATTAAGAAACTCATCAATTTCAGAATGGCATCCATCCTCCTTTACGGCAGCGAATGTTGGACGGTCTTCTGAAGGATGAAGAACAGACTCGAATCAACGGAGGTATGGTTCTACAAAAGGATGCTTAGAATATCATGTACTAAGCGTGTGAGCAACGATGAGGTTTTGGAGAGGAAGCAAACAAGGAGGAAGCTTATACTTAACATCAGGAAGAGGTAGCTGAAATTTCTGGGACACGTAATGAGAAAGGAGGGCTTGGAGAATCTGATACTCACAGGTCGAATAGAGGGAAATAGAGACAAGGGAAAGCAACGCATGGCATACCTGGCGGCCTTAAGCAAGTGCATGACAGAACATGGCCTTGGAGAAGTAGCAATGGGACAAAATTTATTGAGAGCTACAACGGATAGGAAGAAGTGGAAGGCCTACGTCCTGAAGGGACACGGCACATAAAAAGATAGAGGAATCAAACATTTTCTTCGATGATTTAGAAATAGGAATTTCTAAAGAATTAACATATTTATTTTTAATCCGAAATTTCTATTTACACTATTTACATTGTTCGGGCTATTGTCCTCATCTTTATTGTCATATTCACGATGTTTCGGCCGTTGTACGCTTCTGCCTTCTTCAGGTGATATACGTTGGAATTTCGAACCGAACTCTTTATTTATATTAATAGTGTAAATAGTTACAATTGAAGATATAAATATAGGAATATGGACGTTATAAACGTTACACTAAAACAACATTTTCTCAAATTTATTGTTGATAATTCATATATCAAAAAGAGAATTGTACAGTTTTTTCCTCGTTGAATATTTAAAATAAACGTTTAGTTCCAAGAAAATATTTAAACATTCAACTCATCCCACTCTAGCCCCCGATAAAAAAAGACTTCTAAGTATTAGTGCTACTCCAACTATTAATCGGTTTAATCTATTCAATAATATAAAGCACAATGAATGTTTATATATTAATGTTACGTATCTTGCTCGACTTTATTAGTAATGAGATATTCCGTTGTCATGTTAACAAGAAGCATTACTAGATACTAATAAAGGAACAATTTTCGCGTTACCTCTACAACAGTATATCTTATTAGTAAGTAGATAATGTTATTAGAAAATTTCTTATATACTGCCGTTATTTTCAGATGGTATGGGTAAACTATTAGCCTAATACTTTTCTTTGATGTTTTCTGGTTGCATTATTGTCACAAAATATTAATCTGAAAACTCGAGTCATGTTCTTAAATGACTTCATCATATGAAGACATTTATATTGAAATTCTATTCCACCAATATATGGTAAGATGGCAGCCAATGTGTTAAGCTATTTTGTTATATTTGTGTAAGGACAAAAGTACGCAGGTGTAGGCTTTAAGAAAGCTTTATTCAACTGAGAATACAAGGTTTGCGTATAGTGTCCTTTTATAGTCCCAGTAAACAGAAATAGCTCTCTCAAAGAGGAGAGTAACAAAACAAGGGGAGGCCACTCTTGATTATTTATAACAATTTGCTTATTAGTTTAATAATGTCATCGAAAATTCTGCATTTTTGCAATATTATTGTACTGATATAATTTCAAAAACATTATTTTGCTCGTTTTTTTTTTTCATATTATGTCCAATATTTCTAAACTATTAAACTAGAAGTAAAATTAACCTATATGACTCTGGTTTTAGTCTAACGATTTCATTTGTTAAGTGAGAGATGATCAACTGAAAAGAAAATTGCGGACGATTGGAAATTTTGGTTGGCGATATAGGATTTTGAGTATTAAAAAGGCATTTTAACATATGTGAATCGAAAAAAAAATTTCAAAGGCGATAAGCAAAGAATCAGTATAAAAAATACAGGAGACTAAATGAGAATAACTTGGTCACATTCCTAGATAAGCTACAAGATATCCCCTCAAGCAACGAATATCTTGTTATTTTCTATTAGTTTTTGAGAAGGGTCATTAGCATTCAAATATTTCTCCAAACGAAGTAACATTTTTTCCAGATAAAAATCATATAAGGGAAGAAAAACAATAACAAATCAATATTCGATAATTTTTTATTAGTTGCTGATAATGTATATTACTTTTAATTTTATAATCTATATAATAAATGTGAATGTCAGTATGTCAATGGGCATATTTTGGGCCGAGCCCACGGGCTCGGAATACCCACGTTAAAAAGGCCTTGTGCCACATGACACCCTCGTGGGTGGGTGGGGTGACTGAATATCGTCAGTGTGTCACACTTTTTCAGCTTTACTCCTAGAGGCCGTAGCCCAACATATCATACCATTTTGGAATCAGGCCGACTCCGTGAACAAATTAAAATCATTACGGGCCGGATCCTGACACGCAATCCTGAAATTCTGGATTCCCAAGTTTTTATTACTCCGATTGTTTTCGACGATTTTTTTACGTGATTTTTTTCGACGAATTTTTGGAAATAAATTTGTGAATAATCGAAATTGTACCCTAATATCGCCCACCAGTGGGTAATTTCTACTGTTGGGTTGGCAATGATCAACTGAACAGAAAATTTTGGTTGGCGATATAAGATTTTGAGCATTAAAAAGGCATTTCAACATATGTTATTCGAAAAGAAATATTCATAGGAGATATGCAAAAAATCAGTATTTAAAAAAATACAGGAGACTAAATGGGAATAACTTGGTCACATTCCTAGATAAGATATAAATATCCCCGCAAGCAACGAATATTTTATTTTCTATTAGTTTTGAGAAAGCTCATTAACATTCAAATAGTTCTCCAGACGAAATAACATTTATTTTCGGAGATAAATCAGATAAGTGAAGACCAAGAACAACAAAAAATATTCGCTGAATTTTTGTTAGTTGCTAGTAGTGTATATTCGTTTTAATTTTATAATTATGAACAAAAATTGTTTAATTTGTTGTCAACACTTGCAAACCTAGCCATAAAACTAACCTTGACCATAAAACTAAATTATATAGTGTGTTCAATGGTTAAGTTTACTTTCGTTTGTTCTTTAATACGGTAGAAGCAGCAGGCGCATAGGATGGTGTTATTTGTTACCTCCCTTTGATATTTTTACTACATCATAAAATCAGTTTGAGAAGCAGTAAAAAATTTGGACCAAACTATTTTGGTATGCTTTTGAATATTTACTATACAGATGAGTAGTGGAAAATTTTTCATAAGAAAGTGGGCGATGACAAATAATACTGAGATGCCCTGGTCGAAACAGACGACTTCTTTTTCTATAAATTGTGTGTTATTTTGATTTCAGATGCAAACTTGTAAATTTTCCAGCATATTTCAATTAAATTTTCATCCTTCAAAAGTATAATTTAAGTACATGGAAAAAGAATGTCAGTTAAAACTGACGACAGGGGGATGTGGGTTAAGTACATTCTCAATTAAATTTTAAGAAAAATAAGAAAAAGAAACCTAAGAGAGATTAAATCCAATGCCTTAACATATCTGTCGGAATCGTAAAAATCATCGACTATTTTCTTATCTTAAAAATTAGTTTCCAGTTAGTTTTAATTTTAGAACCCAGTTGATTGCACAATTCCTTGTATATAATAATATCCCACCTATCATGTCTGTTTTAATATTTGCATTGGTCTATATTGTATCATATATGATTCGGTTTACAGCCTCAAAGTTTTTGTGTTATTATTCTTGGATCATGGAATACGTCCTTTAAATTAGAAAGCAATTATGGCTCTCCAATGCTTCTCATTGTTCTAATTTTTTATCCGTTAACATCACTTTTTGTCTCTGTTTATTATCGCTTCAGTAGAAAGGTTACTCCCTGTTTTTTCCCTATTCCCATACTCCACTGTCTGGAGAATTCTATCGGCCCTCTTTCCACATTACGTGCCCAAGAAATTTTAGCTGCCTTTTTTTCTAATTGTTACTCTATAGTTCTTATTTTCCTTTATCTGATTTTTCGATTTCGATTGTTTTTAACTAATTTATTAAGTTGGTGACCTAATATGTGAAAGCCTGTTTGAATTATAAAAAAAATATTTACTTACATGGTTCAACCATTTCCTGGGAAGCTGCAAAGAAACAAAATATATAAAATTAATCAGTTTCATATATCCTCAAAAATAATTGCAGTTATTTGAAAATCTTTACAAGGATTGCATGTTACCGTTAAGCCGATGTTCATGACACAAAACGTTGGATACATGTAAAACTGAAAAAAGAAGACTTAGACTATAAAATAATTTCCACCGTCATCTTCGCTGAAATCAGTTTATGAACCAGGAGTCTAGCTGACAAAATTCCGTATTATACTTCCACAAACGCCCGTTTTTTGTTACTCGCCACTGTGTCTTTTCTATAAATACTTTCATAGTAATTGTTCGGACGAGTTCTTCGCTATGGTACATAGACTTTTTGAAAGTAAACGCTGCACTAGACTGACATTGAGATCTCATCAATATACAGCTGAGCCGGCTCGGTCGAACCGTAAGTTCTATGCTAACAGTTTCTTTACTGGCACTTCTCGCTTGTGGAAATCACTTCCGGTTCCGTGCTTTCCAGCCAACATTAATCTGCAAAAATTTAAATGCAACGTTAATCACTATCTATTGCCCTCCTGGTTATTCTTTACTCTTCTCGCTCCTTATTAATGTTTCTGTCTCTAATTCTTCCACACCCAGTAACCCCTTGTGTCTTAGTGGCTTTACTTTCTTGCATGGGGTGATACCGATTAAAAAAAAATTGTTTAACCTTTACCATGCGTCTTTGTCCCTGTTCTGCTTTTTATAAATGCAAACTCATTAAGTAGATGACCGTGGCTCTCCACAAGTTCCTCGCTTTTGATGCCCTATAAAACGTTTAACGCTTTGATATCCTTCTTTGTCACAAATCTGTTCTCATCTCAACTCAAACTCATTAAGTAAATGATTACGGCTCTCCACATCTTCTTGTCTTTTGTTACGCAAAGTAATTTTTTACTCTTTATCATCCCTCCTTGTCCCTGTTCTGTTATTAATTCATACAAACTTTTTAAGTGGTCAATGCTCTCCACAACTTCCTCTCTTTTGATGCCATGAGAAACTTTTGAGACTTTGTCGTCCTTCTTTGTCCCTGTTCTCTTCTGGTATCACTTCCCAGAAATTCATTAAGTAGATGATCATGGCTCTCCACAACTTCCTCTCTTTTGATGCCATGAGAAACTTTTGAGACTTTGTCGTCCTTCTTTGTCCCTGTTCTCTTCTGGTATCACTTCCCAGAAATTCATTAAGTAGATGATCATGGCTCTCCACAACTTCCTCTCTTTTTGATGCCATGAGAAACTTTTGAGACTTTGTCGTCCTTCTTTGTCCCTGTTCTCTTCTGGTATCACTTCCCAGAAATTCATTAAGTAGATGATCATGGCTCTCCACAACTTCCTCTCTTTTGATGCCATGAGAAACTTTTGAGACTTTGTCATCCTTCCTTGTCCCTGTTCTCTTCTGGTATCACTTCTCAGAAATTCATTAAGTAGATGATCATGGCTCTCCACAACTTCCTCTCTTTTGATGCCATGAGAAACTTTTGAGACTTTGTCATCCTTCTTTGTCCCTGTTCTGTTCTGGTATCACTTCCCAGAAATTCATATGTAGATGATCGTGGCTCTCCACAACTTCATCTCTTTTGTTGCTCAATGTCATTTTTTACTCTTTAACACAGCTCTTTGTTTCTCTTCGCTATTGATTCATACAAACTCATTAAGTGATTATGGCTCTCCACAACTTCCTCTCCTTTTTCGATCGATGTATTTTTTAACTTTTTACCATCTCTCTTTGTCCCTGTTCTGCAATCCAATCTCACAAACAAGCTCAATAGGTTACTCACTGTTCTTCCTCGCTTCTCCTGCCTTCAACATATCCTGCGAGCTTAACAGTCTGTAGGCGATCATAGCGCTCTACAACTTCTCATTTTTTTTCTGTTTTAAGTAATGTTTCCTCTTTTAACATCCCTCTTTGTTTCTGTTCTTCCACTCATTTACACATACTCGTTCGGTAGGATTCTGACTGTTCCCACTGCTTTTAATAAAATACTAGCAGCATGGCCCGGCGTTGCCCGTGCTTGATTAAAAAATCGTACGACTCATACAGCAATCGCTATCACTTGACTTAAAATACTTTTGCCCTTCCTTGCCTTTAAAGGAGTGCCCTTTGCCGTGCTGATGTTGCTACATGCCTTACTTCTTGCATATCTCACACTGCGAAGTTTTTCTAAGCTCTATACTAAACATTAAATCTGTTACGAAAAAAGAACTAAACAAAATGAACACAAAACGATCAGCTTTAAAAAAAGACTCGTAACTGGAAAAACCGAATGAAAAAAGAATGTTAACTACAAATACTTTTTCACACCAAACCCAGTTCTGCGGAATCAGAATCAACATTGAGTTTAAGCAAGCGAATTAGCCAATTGGAGTAAAGTGTTATGCAGATTTAAATTTTTCCCACTTGCAACGAATGCAGCTAACGATTTTTTTTACATGCTAGCATGATAGTTAACATTCGCATCAGTCAGCTGTTGGCTCTCACGCTGGCCAATAGAATCTTTCTGCCTATTCGTGGCAGCCAGGCTCTCACTCTGTCCAGTAGAAAATGGCCGCAAATTACATGAAAACTGCCGTAGAAGAATAAAAAAATCGATTATTTCCACTATCAATGGGAGTTAGGAAATGCAAAGTCGGTCTTGGCGTTTCCGCTAACTTGGAGCATGTGCATGTAAATTTTGAAGCAAATCCGTCGAAAATTGCGGCCGTGCATTCGTTACACACACACACACATCCTGCCTTTTATAGATAAAGATAAAAAAAAACAAGAGACTCAGGCAATATTGTCAGCGTAGGAATTCTTTCAAATTAGACATTTCGATGATACGGTGGTGTGCTGAAAAGTTATCAGCTTGACTAAGGAAGTACTTTTTGATTACTTTTAAATTAGTTGGTCGGACCGAGAACTTTTCATTATACTCTTGTATTTAGAGTTTTGATAATTATAGATGAAACCATGTTTTCTGATGAGTTGCTGTTGAGAAGTAATTTGGCGAATGGATGAAAGATCTGAAACGCGTGAAAGACTAATTTGAATCCAATTCCCTGAAGAGATCGGGTTTCATTCTTCAGGTAATAACTTTATTTCTGCTCTTCAGACAGAAAAAAAATATTTTTATTATACACAACTTGAGCTATCATACAACAAACTGTCAAATCCTATCTTAGCAAATTCCCAGAGAATGTATCTTTGTGTTTAAATGTAAAATAAACATTCAACGTTCATTCAATTTATTTCTGTCTGTATTTCCGAGAAGAGGAGTTATCATTATTTGCAACAGCCTAGTGGATTTAATCATCGGTTCGTGAATTTCGTGATATAATTATTCACAATCACGTATACCTAATATGCTCGCCGGATACTGGAGTATATTAATTCTAGTCAAAGCAGAGAAATATCTAGCTTCTTTAAAATAGATTTGATACTTACCTGGTACAGGGACACTTCTCTGGCATAGGTGGTATCACGGCTATCACTGGCTTGGACGAGATCTGACCGGCTTGGACAGGTTATGACTAGCTAAGACCAGCTATGACTACCTTAGACGAGCTCCGACCAGCTTGGACAAGCTACGACCAGCCAAGACCAGTTATGACTAGGTTAGACGAGCTCTGACCAGCTTGGAAAAGCCATGACCAGCTAAGACCAGCTTAGACCACCGGCCCGAGTGAAAACAGTCGGGTCCCCACGTTAAAAACCCACCTTGTGTCACAACCTGACTCGGGGGGGGGGGACAAGTAAATATCTTCTTTAAGATTTTACAATTACAGAACGAACTTTTGATCGAAGAATTCTTCATGATTTGTTTTCCTTTTTCCGCAGTTAAGATAAACATATTAATCTTAAAGTTAATAAGGCTGTTATCAGTTATTAGCCATATGTGGGGTCTGGACGAGGCAGATAGGCCGATGCAACTAAGCTTGCCGAGCAAGTAGAAAGATTACAACCACTCTACCCGTACACTTCACTTGCCGTTCATCCCAGTCAATGGCATCAACCTTCCGACCAAACTACGTGTGGTTAGGTAGTCGGGGATTCCTCCGGCTAGTGAAAGGCAATCACATCAGCCCAACTTCTATATTCAGTAGCCCAAGACACCAAATGATTAGCTACCAAGATAGCAACCACACCACCTGTCTAGCCTGCGTCGGGCTGACCACCTGGGCAGGTGAATCTTTCTATTGTTACGATACGCAGCAGATATTTTAACTGGACTGCCCTTCAACGGATTGGATCCCCGCTCCTTTCAATTATTAGATATCTTTGTTTCTAAGAAATAAAAATGTCACGAAATCAGTTCACACAGTGCAGAGATAGTAAAAATATATGCAAATATGTTAGCTAGTATTGCTTCATGAATTTGGAGATGTATTAATTGTGAGTTCAATCCTTGGGATAGGTAGTAGAAACTCAGCGGAAACAGAGTGAGCTATAACTGAACAGAACTAAATAATACAAAATCAACAAAATGTTATTCTTCAAAAATAACAAAATTTTATTCTACAAAAAAAAATGCAATTTAAAATGAAATTCCTAATCAGACTCTACAGCAAAATAGTATGAAACCAAACGCAATATAAAGAATAGACTGCTAACTTTTTAGACTGAATTATTTTGCAGGTATTTTGTGGAAAAGAGTCATTGAACAATCGGCACGGCAAAGTATGCCAGACCTGCTTTGAGAAAAAATCGATTCCAGAGGCATTCTTAACATTGCTGGTGAATACTTGCGTTTTTTGTCTACAATTTCAAGAAAACCATAGGCATGCATATGATAGCTGATGAGCTAAAAGTAGACCTCACGGCCGTCAGAATGGCTGTGCATAATGACCTGAAATTTATATTATGCGCAAAGACGTCAAGCGACCTCTTCACGCATAATCTGTATGCTAGGATGAAGGAAAGGCGAAAGAAAGTGCTCAAATACATCAAGTCATGAATATTGTAAAAATGCTGTTTGACGAGAAAATCTTCACATTGAATAGTGTTTTGAACCGCCGAAACAATTGCTCCTTCGCAAGTCCAACAGCTGATTTTAAGGGGATTCAGGGCCAAACATCTACCCTATATTAGTGAATTTGGGGTCGCAGCCTACAGCAGTAAAAAGAGGCTGGCATTCTTTTAGAAAACTTGTATAAATATTGGGGGCTGATGACTTCTACGCTGTCCCCGGGTTTAGTTTAAACAGCGAACCAATGTCGGCGCTATCAGTCACACAGCGAAGAAGTTCTGTAAAACTAACTTCTGTCCACCGCCGACCTGAACTCCAATCCGTAGGGTATTGTGGCGCAGGCCCCAAGCCTGACCACCAACCCTAATATCACTATCCTTTAGGTTACCACCAGGAAAGAGCGGGTCAAAATGTATAAAGACTTCGTGTTTAAGAGTTGCGCAGCTTTTTCAGCTTGTGTTGAGGCTGTAATTGAAAATAATCGAACCTCTGTTGAATAAATGATTCGTTTAAATATTACCCGTGTTTATTAATACCCGTTTGTCCTGTTTATTTATACCAGGAGATTTTCAAAGGTTGCAGCCATTTTGTAAGTTATCACTAAGCCATTGATCCTTGGTCACCGCTTTACCGGTGGTAGAGAATAATGACGTAATGCCCAGCCACCGGTTAAACAGTGGGTAAACACTTGTAACTATTTTTATATCTACCGTGAAACATTACATACCAATTATTTGCGAATTTTGACTCTGGAGCTCAGGCAGAAGGGTTAAAATTGTTCAGGAACACAAGGCTCAAAGGGTTAAGCCAAAAGGCATTCATTTTCAAAGAAGGTATATTGAAATAGTGCATCCCCAAAGCATAGAGATTAATTTGGAAATGCATCAATAATATGCTTCGTCTCTTTGAGATGGCTCTTAACCCTTTGAGCCCTGATCACCGCTTTACCGGTGGTAGAGAAAAATGACGTAATGCCCAGCCACCGGTTAAACGGTGGATAAACACTTGTAACTATTTTTATATCTACCGTGAAATTTTAACCCAGGAGCTCAGGCAGAAGGGTCAAAATTATTCAGGAACACAGGGCTCAAATAGTTATTGCTCAAATTGCAAATATATTAAAAAGGAGAAATATGTATTTTTCTGTTTCTTTTTTTGTTGTTTTCCAGTTTTGTTTGCTTTATTTGGTTTAGTATTCTGCGTTTCTTGATCTGATTTGAAAACTTTAATAGGTACTGTGTAGTATTAGATCTTTCTAATGTACTTATTTTTACTTTTAAATGTTTAATCAATATTATTTACGCGTATGACTTTGTTGGTGTTTACGTGTACGAATATGTGCGCGCGCATGTGTGAGTGTAATATACGAGGCAACTTGTTTAGAGGCTCCTGCCGAGTAAACGCTCCTTTACAAAAGTTACTTTAGATTAAAGGATTTAAGTGAAGTTACTCACCGAGTGATTTACATTCTCCTTCAATGAACTCGTAGCCTTTATCACAAACACATTGATATACCCCGCTTAGAAGGGCACATTTGCTATTAAAACCGCACGGCTTCAATTCAGTCCTTTCCAGTTTTCCTCCGGGGCGACATATTAGCTTTGTCTGGCAGTCGCTGGTGACAATTTCTTGGCCGATCTGAAAATGGAATTCCATTAAACTTTAAACTTTATCCAAACTACTAGAAAAAAATAGATTTTTTTTTAATTTCCTCGTGTATAATTCGAATTATTTCTACACGTCTACCACTGTAGTTTCAATAAAAGAATCAATTCGAATTTCCCTTAATATTTACAGATCGACGTGAAGAAGGTCGGAGAACACAACAACTGAAATGTTGTGATAACAACATCAAATATTACGATAACAGTTCGAATATAAATAATTAAATCGAATTATTTTAATATTTTTCGATATAAACACGTTTTAATATACCGCAAAATGATAATGGTAATATTAGCTATATCCTTATAAGGAAATATTTGGCATTTATTTATCAAACAGTCAGTGCTTCTCCGGATTGAAAATTATAAAATCTTTCTATTAAAACAAAAGGAAAATACGTTTCTCAAGTCCAGTATCTATTATTGTTCTTTCCAGTATTGATAAAAGTTTCCTTCCTAACCTTTTGTCTGAAGTAGTGTGGAATATTAACATCATGATTATGCCATTAATCTCTTTTCGATTTATATGGGCAAGGTATTTTGGTTGTTGCAGTTGTTGAAATTCTTTGATTGATGTGGTTTCTGTTAATTGGTACAGTCCTTTACATGTGATTCTACAGCACCAGCCCACAATTCGAAGAAGGACGCTCTTCGCAGAGAACTACGTGTTTCATTCGCTCAAAACCATTTTAACCATTGATCTGAGAAAGCGGCTGTATACAGCTGACATTTTCTGATTGGGTTTGGTGTCATGCCTGGCATTCATATAAAAGTCTCGATCTGCCGAGGTTATTTAAGAACATGACTCAAATTTTTATTGTTAATCTTTCCAGACAGTGTAAATTTTACGTCTACTGGCCTGTTAATTCGAGAATTTAGGTAAAGACATATGTAGCTCTATGCCGGGTTCGAACCTGCATCAGCAAACCCTGTAGGTACTCAAATGCACAGGCCGGTAGATATAAATTTACACTGTTAAAAAAAACTGCCTACTCAAATGCGAGTAGCCTGCGCAAAACACAGTCCGTGTGCTGCATGCGATCTGTGAGACTACAGTGTCGTCCGCGAAGGTGTTTCAAAATATTTAATATTTCTGAGTTCCACAAAATAAATTCGGCGAATGATGGCATACGAAAAATTCAATTTTCTGAGAAGCATGATTTATTCAACCAATGTTCCGGTGTCTTTTTATCTAATCCTTTTTAATCACCGTAGAAAAACAAGTATTTTATCGCTACTCTTCTGTGTGTATATATATATATATATATATATATATATATATATATATATATATATATATATATATATATATATATATATATATATATATATATATGTATGTATATATATGTATATATATATATATATATATATATATATATATATATATATATATATATATATATATATATATATATATATATATATATATATATATATATATATATATATATATATATATATATATATATATATATGTGTGTGTGTGTGTGTGTGTGTGTGTGTGTGTGTGTGTGTGTGTGTCCTGTTAATCATTTCACACCAAACAATGCGATATCACCACTAAGATGCAAGATATATATATATATATATATATATATATATATATATATATATATATATATATATTAATGAAAACGAACATTAAAAAGGCCATGGTGATATATATTTCGTTAGAATCGAAGATTCGATCCCAACTCATCAGATAAACTCTTACATAAGTCTAAGAGTCAGTCGTTGACATCGATCTCTCTGGATTTATATCCCTTTTTGGAATTTCCATACAGATTATCATATATTATAATTATCTATCTATTTATCTATCTATCTATCTATCTATATCTATCGATCTATCTACCTCTCTCTCTCTCTCTCTATATATATATATATATATATATATATATATATATATATATATAAAAGACAAAATGAAAAAAATATTAGCTAACGCGTTTCGTCCTCTGACGGAATTTATCAGGACAAATGTAAGGATTTTATTTTGCAGCGCGTACTGATAAACGAAAGTACTTTTTTTTATTTAAGAAACACTAATAAATATTCATTAGGCTAACTGAAAAGTCTCGGTAAATTATGGACGATCATAATTGACATAATTTAAAGTCTAATAAACAAAAGTGAATAAATGATCGGGTCGAACTTTTTTTATAATGTAATTAATATTTTTAATTCTTGTATTATATATTTTAAATAAAAGGAGCTTATGAATCAAACGATTTCTTTCAATTTTGTAACATTTTCATAGTCATTTATCTTGGCTTGGAAAAGAAGTAATTCCTTCAAAAACGGTGATTTTGAAAAAATCCGGGTCGCATTTTGATAAAATTCGACAGCGGCACTCTCGATAATTTTTCGTCGAAATAAGTCACTTTCTCTTGTAATACGTGTGGCATTATTTAGATCAAAATTGTGGTTGAATTTATTTCTATGTGTGTCTCTGGGAACACGACAATTTATCAAATGCATTTTCTATCTATCTATCTCACTCTCAGTAATTTTTTCTCCAAATTTTCCCTTGCGACCCACGACTAATTTTCTGCGATCAGTGTGGCCATTTAGATTTTATTTGTGTCGTCCTGGTTTAAAGTAATAATGTTTGGATATAAATAAAAATTCAATAATTCCTTAGAAATTACTTTGTTTGCATTTCAGAAACGAAAATAATGTCAACAAAAATAGGCTCCGAGTGATCAGAAATAGAGATGTGCATTTCTGAAGTAAGATAATTGAACTTTGCTAGACTCTGAAAGTCTTCCAAAGCTGCACGGTTTACTGGTGACTTCAAACAACCAAGTAACATGAACAAAACTGCTCACCTGCATGTATTTGTTTTCATACAAACAACCGCATTCAGATATGGCAACACATACGCCATTTTTTAATATATAACCAGAACGGCAAACACAAGCTTCGGTGAAATCTTTGCATTTCGGAAAAGGGCTTTCGCATGTAGGTTGACATACTAAAGCGTGGCTTTTGTAGACTTGGTTTACAGCACATTTGATCTCTGAAGAATAAAACAAAAATTAAAACCAATTATTTTGAAACTTCAATGGCTAATTACAAATATTTGCTCATCAAACAGGATTAGATCCGTTAATTAAGAAACGGATCTACAAAATTTTCTCGTTAACATTCTTACGGATGTTTAAAATATTTTTTATAAACTTTCTTGTAGCTCACAGACACGCGAATATATTTGCACATTGTATTACTGGTATTTAATTAAAGAAAAAGGAAACTACAATAATCCGACAGAAGATAGTGAAGGAAAGCGAGAAAAAGACACTAAACATGAGCTACAAGAAGACAGATTGCATGGTTGTTAGCAAAAGGACCAGTTCAACATGCAAATTACAAATTGGAGATACCAAAATCAAACAAGTACAACAATTTAAATATCTGAGAAGTATTCTAACAGAGGACAGAAGGACGTCAATGAAATCCGAAGGCGCATTAGGATAATAAAAAATGTGCTTTCCAAAAACTAAGCAAAGTATTCAGAAACAAGAAAATTTCATTAAATACAAAGAACAGGGTACATAATATCAGTTATTCTATATGACAGTGAATGAACTCTGTGTTCCCAGTACTTATATATATATATATATATATATATATATATATATATATATATATATATATATATAAACAGAAATTTGACACGACAGAAATATAGATTTGAAAACGCAGGAAAACATTCTTCTGTTTAAAGAACCCTTTCATGCATTTTATAATATATAATACAGGTAAAAAAAAAATCCGTTGGTATATAATCCTAGTTGGTCCTAATAATGTAAAATAGTAAAACTGATCCACAGATAAAGTTCAATTTAATAACAAAACATATAAATTACACAACAAAGAAATCCAGAATTACCTGAGGTAATTTTGGATTTCCCTATTGAATTATATATATATATATATATATATATATATATATATATATATATATATTGATTTTCCTTGTTGGATTATATATGTATATATATATATATATATATATATTGATTTCCCTGTTGGATTATATATATATATATATATATATATATATATATATATATATATTGATTTCCCTGTTGGATTATATATATATATATATATATATATATATACTAACCCAGGTCGCAGTTTCAAATAAAAAAAATTATATCTGCACATAACTTTAAAATATAAATATATATATACATATAAATTGATATCTACATATAACTTCCATATGTATATGTATGTATGTATGTATATATATGTATGTATGTATGTATGTGTGTGTGTGTGTGTGTGTGTGTGTGTGTGTGTGTGTGTGTGTGTGTGTGTGTGTGTGTGTGTGTGTATGGAAAGAGGGATAAATAAATAAATAATAATAATAAAAATGAAAAATGATTTGATTTTTATTCATTTATTAATCCGGTTTATTTATTAATCCGATATGGTTCGAACTAGCCTCCCCTAGCCAGAGTAATCCGCGTTAGATCCGACCTGCTCTAGACCAGCTGAGCTACAGAGAAAAAATAAACAAAATCCCTTTTGTCATAGACATCTCAAAATTTTCATATCTCTTCAGTTCCGTTTCCAAAAGTAAACAAAGCAATTTTTTTAAGAAGTAATAGATTCTTATTTATTAATCCGACAGATTTTACAAGTTTAAACGTCATTTTTACTGGATACTAGTATTTGAGCGGAGGCTACGTTTATTTATTAAACAGTATATTCATTTTATATCTAATACATTATATGTAAATACAATATATATATATATATATATATATATATATATATATATATATATATATATATATATATATATATATATATATATATATATATTTATTTCAGTTGAATTCTTCGGGGAGAAAAGTGAATTTGTAAGCAGTGACTTTTACTGCTGCTGATGCAAGAGCCTTCGTTAAGACGAATCGAGTTCTCCCGTCACTGGCGTGTTAGTCTAAAAATAAATACGTCAAAATTCACCTTCATCAATGGCTCAAGGGGAAAATCTCCGACTGTTACCAAATCAGTTGGCTTGAGGCAATTGCATGTCTAGTCACTCTAATCAGCTGCGAAACAGTTTATCTTCGAATTATATATATATATATATATATATATATATATATAAAATGATACCATCATACTATATATTACGACAATCAATGGGTAGGCATAAAAATATCTTAATTTCAACCCCAACGTTTATTATAATTGATGACGGCATTCAATCGATATCACGATAAATGAATCTTTATTGACTTTAATTTTTTAACCCAGACTGAAGCCCATTTTTGATTATTTATCTGATAGTTGCCTTTTATTTTAGCCCTCCTCCATCTTTTCAGAGACACCCACTTTTATTTCAAAACCGGATTTATTCGAGAAGCAAGCGTCAGTACGTTTTGTTACACAATTGTTATCTCCCTTATACTGCCATCTTTTACTTTTGGCCCATCAAGACATTCTAGAAGAAATGAGACGGGGAAACAAAAAAATATTTATATGCAATAATAACGTAACATAACATCAAGAAGTTAACATTTGAAAAATTCTAATCTTTTGTAATAAGTTGTGTAACACACCACAAAGGTTATGCAGATGGCACTCTTTTTATAATAAACACAAAAAGAAACCTACAGGAACTTCTACACAAGGTAGAATAGGAAAGCGTAAAGAATCAACTATTTGTAAGAAAACATAATATACGGTTGTTATCAAGAGAAACAGACACAAATTGAGTAAGTGATTATCAAGCAAGTCTACAACCATATGTTAACTATCAGGGAAATGTTATAACAGACGATTGAAAATCCGAAACAGAATTTCAAGGCGCATTAGTTTAGCGAAAGATACCTTCCGAAATGATACATAATACCAATTTATAAACGTCCTTTCGTATCTATTCATTAAATTATCACATTTATATTTGTAGTATGAAAATATATATGATTTATTATTATTTATTTATTGATATTTCGAATTCGAAGAAAAATTTCAGATTGGTAATATTTTTAGCCTAGAGAGCAAAATTAACATTTGAATTTGCTTTTATGGCTAACAACATATAACCTTGAAAGTATCAAGAAAGAGGAAAATGCAGTCCTTCAAAAAGATAATGACAATAATATCGATGGAATATGTGAGCAAAGAGAAAGTTTTAAGAAAAATGCGATAAAAATGCAGACATGCTTAGGATCAGAAAAATACAGTTGGGATTTCTTAAAAACATTATGTGGGAAGAGGGCTTGGAGACTTTAACACTCACTAGACATATTGAGGGCAACAAGAAGAGTGGGGACCAGCGAGTAACCTTATAAGCTTGTATAAATGGATAGCAAACAGGGATAGTAAGGAGTCGAACACTGCCTAGAGGTACAATCGATAGGAAGTCGTTGAATTCTATGAGCACGTTTTGAAGAAGAAGAAGAAGAAGAAGAAGAAGAAGAAGAAGAAGAAGAAGAAGAAGAAGAAGAAGAAGAAATACTCACCGCATTCGGACACTTCTCTCCAGTGCGAAGCTTCTCCAATTTTCTCACACATTTTAGCGAAATGTCGAATGCTGTCACACATGACTGTATTGTAGATAGTCGGCGTCATGAAATAGCTGCAGGCGTTCATTTTGCATAAGGTCACGTGTCGTCTGACTTTTTCCAAGCCAAGTTTCTTAATGCAAGAACCGAATATCTTCTTCTCTAGCAAAACGTTACATTTCTGTGTTTCGCTCAGCAAACACTGGTCTTTGATGAATTCTTGTTCACATCTAGTTCACAGTTGAAAAAAGATATGTAATAGTAAAAGGATTGACAAATAAAAATCATTTTTGGATGAATGTTGTACTTTAGATATGAAATAAAATAATTAATAACAAAGAAAGGCATTTAATAGCACAGGGTTCGCTTTATATCGAATAAAAAAAATAAAGCTCCATATTAAACTATGTATGGGTGACTGGCCGAGTGGTTAAAAGGCTTGCTTTCCGGAGTTCGAAAATTACTATGGACGATTTGTCAGGAATGTGGCCTTGATGGAAGCGATTGTTTGAAAATCATAAAACGTGTTCACCCAATTCTTTGTGAGTGAAATTGAATAGACGGAACTGCTCGGCTGTTATGCTAGCACGAAGTCAAAAGTCTTCGTGGCTGAGAGTTTGAGTGTACTGGACTTGTTCATTTATTGATCAAACCACTCCTAGGAACTATACATAATATCCGCTCAGCCAATTTGCTGCTTAAACCACAAGTGAATCTCCGTTATTGTTGAACAAACACACATTTGTCTTGCCTGAGTTGGTATCGGCAACAGGGATTGATTGGCCGGCCTAGTAGAGGGACACTACTGAATGGAAATTACACACACACACACACACACACACACACACACACACACATATATATATATATATATATATATATATATATATATATATATAATGAAGGCACTAAGACCTTCCAAGATCTTGCAATGAGTTGGGCAAATATCAAGTGTGATGCTTGGAAAAAAGGAAATCATTTGAGATAACAGTCGAACAATTTACAAGCGTTACATGGATAGAGCTTTGACAAATTACAATCAATACTAAGCTAAGACTAAGTTACTATGACTGGTGTGTCAGAAGACCGGCAGCGACAGCTCCGGCCTCATCCCTCAGGATAAGATCCACGAGTAACAGGAACAGAATTTACAACACAGACCCAATCCTGTACAGAACAATCAAGATAGTTGGATTTCCCACAAGAACTAAAGCCATGGATCCCATTTGTCGGCAACGGTCATGAACAACAACCAGCATGTACGAATATATGTATGCATGTAAGATCTGCAGACTTCTATGCGGGTTATAGGGACTCATGCTGAGCGCACTAGACGCTGCTAGTGTGGTTTTTACGTGTAAGATTTGCAAGCTCCACGTCCAATATATTGATTTCAGACGATATACAACTCATGCCTCATAAAAAAATATATAGAAGCGCAAAGACTTTCACTGAAGAACATTTCGAGTTTGAAAATATATAACTGTTTATCTATTTAGAAAACATTGACTCAAAAAAATATTTAAAAAAATTTTGGTCTACATAGAATAAATTTTGAAAAACAAGATCGTGTTCGTGTTATGATATAAAAGTTTTGTTATAAAAACCTTTCGTTTTGTTAATATCTATATAATACTAAACTAATCTCGTATGTATGTGTGTTCCCGATATACAGCTTAAATGATACATAATACCAATTTATAAACATATTTTACCTTGAACAGTGCAGTGTCAAATTTTATTAAAATAAAACAAATGGTCCTTGAGCTAGTATTTCAGTGTTATCGATACACATTCTTATATCAATCCGCGTATATAAACAAACAATTGCATATTTTACTCCAAATATTATGCGTGTAGAAAATAATAAACTTTCATAATGCATCATAACAACATTATCAAATAAATTTAAATATACCTAACACAATATGCATTTATACAATCGACTACGCGACATTTGAACTTTTTATAAACATATATCTCGAATGTTTGGCATCTATACGATAGTTAAAGAGGCTATGTGGGTGTGCCATTGTAAAATGTAATCTGTATTGTTGGAAGATTGTGTTGCATGTGTTGATGTTAAATAAATAGATGTATGTTGGTTTCCCGACGTTACGTACTTTGAAATAAATGTGAGGAAGAAACAAATATAATAAAAAAACATTTGCACAATAAAACGTATGTATGAGAAACGTGTGTATAATTAAAATATTATTTGAAAAAATACCTAGAAAAATTAAACTAAGTGCACAAAAAGAAGGTATTTAAATGTTATGTTATTTCTATGTTTTTTTTGGGGGGGTAATCAACTTCAAAATGATATGATAAATACTAAGTTTAATCTAAGTAATATTGTATAATGAGATAATTATTATTAGAATAACTCATATTGCAAATACAGATTAAATTATACGTAATTAATGACAATGTGGATAGCTCGTCATTTTTCGTCACGAACCGCATTTAAAAGGATCCAACGAGAATATGGATGCTTAATGTATATATATATATATATATAGCGCACTGATTGATACTGATAATAAAACAGTACTTGATGTAAAATAAACGTTCTAAAATGTATATTAATAATAAATCTATAGTTTCGTTAAAAAATAAGTGAAGGTAATGGGTTTGACTGGAATTCGAACTCGGCTCTTCGATTCCTCAATACTCCACCGTGCCTCCTGTTAGATTACTGATGCTAAAAATATAATCAAAGTAATTGTAAAATCATTTAAATTTGGCCGCTATTTTTGTTCGTATAAGTTGTATTAGCTTTCTTCGGGGACTTGTTCTTTCATTGACTTAAAAAAACATCTTTTTTATTACGTGACAATAGAGTTAACCTTAGAAATAAAAATCCTATCCTAAACTACTTATGCAGAAATAAAATGGCTGCAATTAAAAAAATTACTTACATATTGCTTTCATTTTTATAGAGGGTATAATGCGTATAAAATATAACTTTATTTTTAAAGAATAAAATCCTATTTACATTTAAACATTTTTGGCGTTTGAATTTCTGTGTTTATTGTTTCTGGAGAAAAGATTTCTGTATATATAACTAGTGAGAAGGCAATCTTCAAATAAAAAGAGGAAGAAGAAAAATAGAAATTAAAAGAAATGAAGAAAAATGGCGGAAGTTTTCTGGCACCGATTTCTTGTCATTGTGACTAGAAACTACCAAAATAAGAGAGGCTCCGCGCATAACTTCTGCTAAATAAAGAAATGAAAAAGAAATGTCCGTCAGAAAATAAACTAATTTTGTTCAATCAAAAGAGAAAAAGAAAAGAGAGAAAGGAAAATGTTAGCTTCTGATGTTAGCCGAAACCAAGCTTCGCGCCAGTAGTCTGGCGGCCTTTCTTAAAATATATAAACAAGCAGCCGACTGGCAGAGGAATGTAAAGGGACCGCCAGTGAAACCAGCCCAAGGTGTCACGTGAATAAGTTAAGCGGTCGTCTTACCGAGAAAACTGCAGATTGATCACCGCAACAAGTTCCCAAAGCAAACAAGCTCTCGACTGCTACCAAAGTCCGATTTGTAAACTATCAACTACCGAGCCGAACGAACTTTCGCCAACCCGAATTAAAAAGGAAAAACTCCAATCGAAGCCAAATAAATAAACATAAATTATATATTATTTGTTTATACCTTTGATTTGTTCGTTTATTTCTGAAGTTTCCGATAAATATTGCTAAGAAACCTAAGTACTTCTTCACAATTCAAGCTTTAAATTAAGAATCGTTTTTCATCTGAAAATTCGAATAAGAAGACCGTGACATTTTCACGAGTATTGCTAAGAGGAATAAATCCAACAAAAAGGAGAATAACTGTTCTAAAAATTTGTGGATTTATAACTGATTTATATTTATGTGCAGATAGGTTAGCGACTCGGAAGGTAAAACCGATGCGAGGCGTTCAAGTTCCGGCCGAGTGTATTACGTTCACTTTCCCTGCATATACTCTTAGGAAATGTATGAATCCGTCTCCCTTGCCTCCAGATATGAGTTAAATAGCAGGGCTGACTGGAATCTCTTGCATTGAAGTAGCAACAAGTCTAGCAGATTGAATTCAAAACCAACCTGAAGAGAAACTATGTTGCTCTAGACACCCTACCACTGCTGTAATGATGATAATATTCGCCGTTTTCTTACAAGGACAAATTTGATATTGATTGACCGAGCAGTCAGTACAGCTGTCGGTTGAAATTTATAAAATCTTTCTATTCAAGCAATTTTTCAAGAAAATAGGTTTCTCGAGTTCGGAAACTGTTATCGCTTTTTTTCTAGTATTGATGGTGGTTTCCTTCCTAACCTTTTGTTCAAAGTAGTGTGGAATGTCAATTAATAATATCATTATTTTTCTTCAAGTTACATGTGAAATCCATTTTATTTGATGCCGCTCTTGAAAGTCCTCAAAAGATGCGTTCACCTGCTTAATTTGTGATGTTCCAACGATCATACAGAATTACTAGAATTGTGACGTGGCGAATGATAGGCAGGGTGCTGAAAAAATATTGGCTCGATCCAAAAGGGATTTTTAAACTCTTATAGTTGATTTAATCTTGTGAAGTTGGTGAGACCGAGAACCTTTTGTTATCCTTTCGTATCTATTCATTAAATTATCACATTTATATTTGTAGTATGAGAATATATATGATTTATTATTATTTATTTATTGATATTTCGAATTCGAAGAAATATTTCAGATTGGTAATATTTTTAGCCTAGAGAGCGAAATTAACATTTGAATTTGCTTTTATAAAAGGCTAAGAACATATAACCTTGAAAATCAGTCATGAATTTGGCATTTCATTCACACATATTTTCATAACGTTGTCATAAATTTCTATGTTTTCACGATTAAGTTTCGTCCTTGATTATTTCATGTTTTCTCTATCCAAAAAATAAGTAAATATTTAAAATCATTTTTAAAATATTTCCTTTTTCCGGAACTACAACCTGAAAATTCGTTTTCTGTTAACCTTTTGCATGCGTTTGTCCTTCGTGTGTTTAAGAAAAAAAATTATAATCGATTAATATTCTTACGTTTCAGAAGATAATTAATGCTAATAAGATATAAAACGAAATGACACTAATTCAATTTTCTTCTTCTATGTGCCTGCCCCTTGAGGACGTTGGCGACCATGACTCTCCACAATTTCCTGCACTCTGAAGCTCTTAATTAATTTTGTCTTTTTGTTATCTCCCCTAAAACTTGTGTTGTCATCCATTTACTCCATTTACATCCATTTTATAGATACAAATATTTTCTGTGAAAATTTCTCGGACATTCAGGCCGGTAAATGTCGTTAATACTGTTTATTATAAACAGGGTACTTACTTAAATATTTGTATCTATAAAAAGAACGTATAAAAAAATGTCTTAAAATAATTGTCGGACTTTGTCCATTTCATAATGTGACGTCATTTGTTTACATTTCGATACGCATCGATCAGATATGAATGTACGAGAGAAAATCATGGAGAATTGTAGTTTAAATACAGTAAAATCGACCTTGCTAACCGAAACACTCCTCTGTAGCTAAATCGGTAAAGCACGCCATGCTATATGACGGTTCCGTATAGAATACAGGTTTGATTCCTGTCGGAGGACGCATATATTCTATGAAAATTTCTCGGACATTCAGGCCGGTAAATGTTGTTAATACTGTTTATTATAAACATATCATTTACACTTAAATATAATATTTGTATTTGTATCCATAAAAAGAACGTATAAACATAAAAAATATCTTTATATATATTCCCGGAATGTTTCCATTTTATCTTCCTACGACGTATCCTCGGCATCACAGAAAGAGACAAAGTTACCAAAACTGCTATACTTGAAAAAGCAGTCTTCTGAGGACTTCTTTCTTCGGTGGCTGGGTCACGTCTAATGAATGAATGGATGGCGGCCGTATGCCAAAAAGCAACATGTACGGTGAGCTAGCCACGGATCACCGTCGGGAAGGCGGCCCTATTTCAAGCACGTCTACAAGAGAGACCTGAAACGCGCAAGCATTGGACCTGGAAGCTGGGAACAACTAACGGACGATCGTAGCGACAGGCGCCATGCTGTTCAAGAAAGAGTCATGAAGGGCGACAAAAAGCGAACCCAACTGTTGAAGATCAGACGCTCAATCTCAGACCTTCATTTCGCTTGTAAGTTTCGTCTGTCATACCTGTAGAGGATAGTGCCATGCAAAGATTGAACACCAGGAGACGACAATGCCTTATGGATGATGAATTACATTCCACTCTACAACTCCTTTCCCAAAGACGAAATGTTGCAAGCCTCTTGTAACTCTATGGCTCTTTCCATGGAAAATATTCAAACAAAACCTCACAGCTAAGACCCCCCACACCACATATATTGGGGCGAACTGCCCTCGTTTCTTTCGCATTTCAATAGTGCAACTCCCAAGTAGATGTTTATCGTCCACTACAATTTTAATCTGTTCAAACCTGAGATGAACAGTTATTTTTCTCAACCATGCACATAAACTACGCCTCTTACCTCCTACTGTTATTCCTCACATAACAAACTCATTCAGTAACCCTTTATCTCGAGTGGTCATTGTGCCTTGTATAGAGTGAACATTAGTAATATATATATATATATATATATATATATTTCATGATAGATCTAAAAAAATATATTTCATGATAGATCTAAAAAAAAAAAGCTGCTGTCAATTTTCAAGACCTACAAACAAAATAATCCCCAAAATTTTAAAAATTAAATAAAATAAGATTTTTAAAAACTTAATAAAATTTAAATAAAAATTTAATTAAAATTAAAAATCTAATGAAATGAAATTAAAATTATTTTAATTAATTTTAATGTTTTAGAGCTTTAATTTAATTAATTTTTTTTTTTGTAATTTTCTAGAAGATTAATAGCTGCTTTTTTAGAGCTCTCATGAAATAAAAATTATTACTTATGGAATTTTATGTTGGATATTCTTTAATTAATAATTTTGCTCTGTCTTTTGACAGAGAGCTTTTCCTGGATCTATATGCTCCTGTATACTGCATAATTACTCAGAAATACCACCCATACCTCCTGTGTGGTGCTCGGGGATTTAGGCTTTCAGCAATAGGGTCATCATCTAGTTAATGTTTTTTTTTTTTGTTTTTTTTTCAGACACCATCAGTTAACATCATGACTTGGAGTGGTGCACAACTTGAGTTTGCTGCGGAAAAGTTTTTTAAAGACAGGTGAATCTGTAATTGCAATACGGGAAGATTTTCATGCTCTTTTAATGTTACGTTGATATTATACTGTATCGAATAGAAAATTGACACTGCTATGGGTTGGAAATTTCATGAACACAAATTCAGCGCTTAAAATAAAATCTCCAAAAGTGCATGAGGAATAGAGGCCATTATTTTACAGAAGTCATTTTTTAATGGTAGTTATCTATGTCTTTTTTTCAATCTTTAAAATATGGGATACATTTCTGCTACACCATATATATATATATATATATATTTAGTTTATGAAAAACTAGGAGGATAAAGGAGGATAAATTCCGAGAGCTCAATGTAAATCCAGAGTAAATAATTTAAATAAAAACAGATCACTTTAAAGTAGTCTGTTTTTATTTAAATTATATATATATATATATATATATATATATATATATATATATATGATATTGGACGACTCCTTAATCAAGTATGTCTACCTCTAAGACATTTAAAATGTGCATGTTGGAAATGTCCGTGCAAAATTCACGTCTTCGGCAACTTGCACACCATTACAAAGACTCTATCCACAAAGCCAAGTAATCCATAGACAAGCCGAAGTAAAATATATGGTTTTACAATGCCAGGAGGTGTTATAACAGAGTTGCCTTCTTGCAGTTTTTTTTCCAGCTGAACAAAGGAAAGGTTTGAATTCATAATTTTCCTAGATGGATTACCTTCATCACGGTTCAGGTGTTCTATCTACCGCTTACTATATTTCATCATATATATATATATATATATATATATATATATATATATGTGTGTGTGTGTGTGTGTGTGTGTGTGTGTGTGTGTGTGTGTGTGTGTGTGTGTATAATGAGAGTGACAAAAAATGAGATCATTTATTCGACTCCACACGGTAGCAATATGTGACACATGGTCGTATATATATATATATATATATATATATATATATATATATATATATACACTATTGCTGTTCTCATCTTTGTTGCCATATTCATGATGTTTCGGCTGTTGTACACTCCGGTCTTCTTTAGCCGATTGGAATTTTGAACCTTATTCAGGGGATTGGAATTTCGAACAAAACCGTTTATTTCGTTCACCTGGGTAGATTGTACTAGTTCCACTCGCCATGCCTCTTCCAGATACCTCAGTATCAGTTATTTCCCTTTAACTCAACTCTCCAATTTTTTTGTTCACCCTGCTGTAGCCAGGTATTGAACTCACAAGTCTTTGGGCAAATGATTACTTCAACCAGTGCTTTTATCCATTGGGCGATTGAAGCAACAAAGATATGGACAACGGTCTGAACAATGTAAATATGGTAAATAATCACATTACCTCATCTCAGAAATATAGATACGTATATATATATATATATATATATATATATATATATATATATATATATATATATATATTGACAGAATCTTTACTTTATCTATGTTTCATTGAATATAGCAGTGTCTACCCTCTCTTAGTCTTCTTAAAATGAAAACTTTAATAACACTAGAAAAAGTGGATTGAAAGAACTTGGAATTTTCTTTGCCGTCACATTCAATGAAACATAGATAGATAGATAGATAGATAGATAGATAGATAGATAAAGAGAGAGTTAAACACATTCGTACCTGCTGGGTTTGTACGGCTTCGAAGTCACAAATTTCTGGTTTACAAGACCCATCACTGGGTGATTGATGTATAAGTCTTGCCCGTCGTATCCCAGTGAAACTCCGTATGGTGTAACAAGTTTTAACATGTGGTGTGCATAGTAACTAGAAAACCCCATGTAATTTTCAAACGGCGGAACCATCTCCATTCGGTTTATCTGTAATGAAAATGACAGTAAAAGAAAATCATAAAACTAACTGGAAGAAAAAATATATCTATGAGATAACGATATATAATATTTTTTTATATACCAAGAACAATTTTAAGGGAAAGAAGTTCCGGTATTACTCTTTCGTCCATAAGGACTTCATCGGACTAATTTTATGTTTACGTTGTTACGACTGCACATGCGCGCATACGAGAGACGCCGGGAATTTTAAATTTAAAAATAACTTTATTTTTTTTTTAATATCTCTTTTACGTATATACCCTATACGATTTCATTTAAGTTTTTTTCTTTTTGTTTATGTTTTCATCACTTTTGTTATTAAAAAATACTACATTGTTATAACAGAAGATCTGCCAATAATGGTGAAATGCTATAAGAACCTGGACACAAATTTACTGCGGATGATCTACCGATTAAACCACTTTCTAAATATTTTCGTCTCAGTAAATTGTTTTCATTTTTTATTAGAGTCGCATTTTTTTAATCAAATTTGTTCTCAGTCACTCTAGAGTGAGCAACTAATGCATTTATTGTGTTCTATTGTAAAAGGTCTCTTTTGTGTTCATATAATCTTTTATTTAAATTACCTGAGGTTTCTCTGATGTATTCTGTATGGTAATTAATACAGGTAATAGAGTAAATTTCTCTTTCAGGTTTTGGCTTATTATTTTGTTTTGTATTATTTAAGCATTTTATTGTTCAAAACGTAGAAATTGTATGTTGGGTTTCGATAAATTCTTTTCAATTCTAGCTGTGATAGAGTGTTAGGTAGAAAAATACACTTTGATTCGTTGGGTTTGTCAGAAAGGTCTGCCTTTCTATTTTTAAATCTTTTAAGGGCCTTTTGTGATTTTTTTTATAGTTAGCGTATCGGAGGAGCTTGAAGGTATTTTCAATGTATCTCTCTTCTTCATTTATGTACATGATATATAAGCGGTGGCCTTAAACAAGATAAAAGTCGGTGGTCAGAAACATAAAGCAGTGAGCCAATTGGAATATCTTGGCTCAATTATTATCGAAGAAGGCCGCAGAATAGAAATGAGGAGCAAAACGACAGGAAAAGTAAGAACATCTGCCTGAAATCAAAACTCAGACTGTTGCGTACATTGGCCTTCGCATTATATATACGATTCTTGGACAGTGGCAGCAGAATTGAAGCGAAGAATACAAGCATTAGAAATGATATACCATAGAACCAATTTGGACATCACCTACGGAGCATCACAAATGACGCAGTGCAAAACAAAAAAGTAGGCCTATTGGAGGACTTCCTATCCATAGTCAAAAAGCGGTTAAAATGGCATGGACACGCCATAAGTGCCAACAATCTTTGCACTGTCAGCCTATAAGCTACCACCTTAGACAAAAGAAAAAAGTGTCTGACAGAGGAGAAAATAGGCTGACACCGTTACTCAGTTAACTGGTGGATCATTCACAAATGCTTAAGCATTGCCACGTAGCCAAGATGTACGGAACGAGCTGATCAGTGGAACTGATCATCATCATGAAGTAATATATATATATATATATATATATATATATATATATATATATACATAACGGAGGATATATGTGTGTCTGTCTGTGTGATACCTTTTCCCTTGAGACCCATCCAACCGATTTTGACTAAACTTGGTAATAGATTGTACAATGTAAGAGACAGGTTCTTAGCGTAAACACTCGATCATTTTTAAAAGATCAATAATCGATAAAGCCGATAAAAAATCGATAAATTCATATTTTTTTACTCCGATTTCGTTAAAACTTGATATGCAGGTTACTTATATCATGACAAGCTCAACTATACCTTATTTTTATTCCTTTGCCAATGCGTTCAGCGAAAAACCGCGACAAAACATCGATTTCAACGCAAATCCATTCCAACAAAAATTATAGACCAAAAACTCCCTCAATTTCCAGGTAATCTAATACAAACTTCCCTCAATTGTAGCCAGCAGTAAGTTGATTGTTTAACAGTCATTTAACTTGATAATTGAGTCCACCCATGTAGTGAAAGCCGCGTAAATACCGAAAAATGGAGATTTTTGCTAGTTTCTTTCTTATTTTTCATTGATCTTTCAACCAATTTTCATCAAACTTAACAATTGCTTTATAAATCTATCCTCTTTTGCACACTGACAAATTAAAGTTCAAAAACTCCAAAATAATTGTGGTCTGAAGTGGGTCTACATGTTGCCTGTTTTACTCTTTCATCTCCTCGGCTAAATTCGATTGAATAAATACAGACCACTTTTGTTATATCAGTAACTGCATTAATTCAAAATGTTTTTAATGAAAGTACTTTAAAGTAATTGAAAATAGATTCTGTTACATCTAAACATGATTCTTTTTTTGCTCCATTCTAATTGAACGCTTTTTCTGATCGACCAGCTGGGTATGGCTGCTAGTAAGTAATGAAATTCAGAAATAAGCAAAACTTATATCATCTATTATTCAGACTACTATCCTTATCACTGTTGGAGTTAACATTTCTATTTGTGATGTCTCATTTTCTTTACCATAATGTTTCCTTTTAAAATCAATTCACTTCAAGCAAGGCAATAATACCACTAAGACGCAAGAGGTAACTGGGAGTGAAAAAGAATGAGAAAACCTAAGGAAACAGAAACCCAGTCCTAACCAGGAACGAGGGATAAACCTATATTCACGTTCAAAAGACGTGGAAGGGGTGTGAACCGGGCGACAGCCGAACATATCTACTCCTATTAAGCAAAGTATTAAGAAATATAAAATCTTCGTTAGGAAAAATAAAATTGGGATAGCGAAAAATGCCTTCCAAAAATTAAGTAAAGCATTAAGATACCGAAAAATCTCGATAGAAACAACGAAAAGAGTACTGAACTGTTATGCAATATCAGTCCTCCTATATGGCACTGAATACTGGACAATCTCCTCACAGACGAAAAAGAGACTTGAAACAACAAAAATGTGGTTCTACAGAAGGATACTGAGAATACCAAGAACCGAACATAGGAACAACGACAAAGTTTTAGAGAGGATTGAAATAAAAGGGACGCTTATATTAACATCAGGAAAGTCTGTTAAAGCTTCTAGGGCACATAATGAGGAGAGAAAGCTTCGAAAATTCGGTACTCACAGGACAGATTGAAGGCAACAGACAGAAAAAAAACAACGCATAAACTAGCTAGTGAGCTTGAATAAATGGATGGCGGAACAAGGTTTAGGAGAGATGACAAAAAGACAAAATTTATTAAGAACTATAAAGAGATATGGCGCATAGAAGAAGATGTTATAGCGGCGGATGTTTCATTTTCGTTGTCATAATATTTTAAGATTAATTGAAATATAATTTTAATATAAGCAGCTGACAAAAAATCATTAGAAAAAAAATTTTTCCCTTGTTGTTTGTTTTTATTTTTTACATATATTTATCTGTATAATTAATTTTTACGTCTATTTTATGGATATTAAACCTATAACTCCCTGCGAACTAGAGGACTCTAGCCTCACTAGAGCAGGTGCACTGTTTTTTTTTTTGGTTTTTTTTATAGTTTCTTTGCAAATAACCAAATAAAAAGTACTTACAAGCATTCTTTGAGTAGACAAGAATCGGACGTTGGTGTTTGGTGCTATGAAATCGACAACAGGTTTGTTTTCGATGCCATTGTATTCATGATCCAACATCACTTTGTAAGCGGGATATTCGTTTTCCACGAGTGTGAATCGGCAGACACCTTTGAAAAAATTTTCCGCTTCCGCAGAGCGATTTTCCATCGCAGAGCAACAGGCGCATTTTATTTCTGTTCAATTAAAAACACAAAATATTTAACCCGTTGTTAGCATTTTGTTTACATTCTTTCAAAATAGACATTTCTATAGGGTTGGGTTGGAACAAAAGTTCGCCAGGTTTAAAACAGGTAGCGTTTGAATCTATAATCTTCGTTACACACATGACGGAAATTTCTAATACACACCTACAAACACACACACACACACACACATGTATGTATATATATATATATATATATATATATATATATTTAGGCATGTCTGATTGAATAAATTACAAACATTATGTCTGCTTATTTTTTATCATAATCATTTATTTATGAATATTTCTGGAAGCAACAGTGAAAATCACTTTTATTTCCCAACAACTTTCCATCCCTTTCTGAAATAAATGTGATTTAAACTGTTACAGTGCATTTCTTGCCTCATTTGATTATAATATACGAAAAAATATTCGTAAATATTAAAGGATTATGATAAAAATAAGCAGATATAATGTCTGCAATTTATTCGCTCAGACATGTCTAAAAGAGAAGTTGCTGCCTAAATACACATACATACACACACACACACACACACACACACACACACACACACACATATATATATATATATATATATATATATATATATATATATATATATATATGGAAGCTTCATTAAAAATCACTGAAAAAGGTGCTTCAGTTTATACTTTTTAGCTATTATCAAGGATGCATTTTATTTTTTTTTTTAACTGAATGTATAGATTGTTTTATGTAGGTATCTATATTCATAGGAATATTTTATTTTCCAAACACACCACATTGTGACTGTGTGCATAGTTGATATTACTCGATGTTGGCTTTTTTTTTTTTTCTTAATAATGCCTCCATTGTTTTTAGCCTTTTTGTATATGTAGATGATACTATTATATTTGAAAGGTCATAGGGTGTATTTAAATGAGACCTAATATATATATATATATATATATATATATATATATATATAGATATATATAGATAGATAGATAGA